GGCTCCTGGCACGGGCGCAGCTGGCGGGCGCGCGGGCTAGCCAAAGGTAGAGTGCTTTAAAGTGTTCTTGGTTTGCTTTGTGAGTGGAAATCACACACAAAAAAGGGGTTCAGGAGAGACCCTAGTTCTAATTTTTGGACTCCACCTCTCTGTTTCCTTCACCTTACCTCCCAATTTTCTGGTCTGGCAGCAGGAGCTCTGGACGGGCGCGTCCTATCGGGTCACTATTTTCCCCCTGCTCCGCACCCATCCATTGTTTTCCATGTGAAGATGAAGCCAGCATGCGTGCTTTAAAACTACTAAGTGTTCAGACCCTGCTTTAGAATGCAGATGACTGTAGGAAAAGTCGTGCTTCAGGTGGTTCATCGAGAACACGAGACGGTAGCAAAGACAAATCTGTAGAAATCCTCGTGGTGTAGGCCAAAAATATAAAAACCACATCACAAGAGTTGGTCACATGTTTAATATACAAAGTTGTCTTTCACAGGTAATGATTTTCATATGTTGTCTTCATACACATTATTCACAAAACATTACATTGTTAATGCAAGAGAATCAGGGAAAATCAAAATAGTACAAATACCCAATGTCAAAAATTGCACAGTCAAATGTTTTCCTTGTTTGTTTGAATGTAATATTTACTTTCAAAATGGGCTTTCTTCTGATGTAGAGGAAACACAGCAGCCCGAGAGAACAGTACTCCTTTCAGCTGTATTGGTCTGTAAAATAGCACCATTGGGCTGACTTAAGGAAAGGACAGGTGTTCATCTTTCTTAATCAAAGTGTAAGTCTTGCACAATTACTATGTCACAAGTACAATATTATTATTTTTTAAATATTGGCTGGCCATGTTGTAAAGGGAAACAACTGCCTCAGATGGATTAATTCCCACCCTGCCTCCATGGTAACGTAAGGTCTGTCACCTGGTAGCCATGTGGCTAAACCCTGGGCTTCTAACAACAGAGTTGGCATTTCAGACCAACCAGCTGTTCTGACAGTGAGAGACGAGGCTGGTTGCTCTCAGAAACATTTAGTCACTAAAACCCTAAGGAGCAGTTGTATTCCATCCTATAGAGTTGCTGTGAGTTGAAATTGACTCATTGGCAGTGGATTTGGCTTGGAATGTTGTCATGGATTTAATGAATTCATTTTCCAGCCCAAGGATAGCAGTTAATCTCTTTTGCAAATCAATATGGAGTAGAACTAATAGCTATTTCTCCAGAACTGTAACCATTAATCATGTGTAATATACAGTCAGAGTGCATTTAATGCTGGGCATGTTGAAACTCCTCCTACTTGTACCTCTCTTTGGTTTCTCCGGCATTGCTGCCTCCCAGTTGTTGCAATCATTTTGTTTCATGTTAGTACTTAAGCTTGAACTTCACTTCTTTAGAACCTAATCTTTGATAAGACCGACAGTCTTGCACAATAAAATCTTATACAATAAAATGACAGTTCTTTAGTTAAAAAATTAGCATCCTAAGTATCTGTGACTTGTAATTCTATGGATTCATGATTGTAAGAAGCTGAGGCTTTAAAGAAACATAACTGTATGTTTATTTATCAATTCCTGTCTTGTTTTAGTTCCATTATATTTCTAACATGACCAGGAAAATATGCCACAGAAAATTGTCATTCCTGAGAGCAGGTTTCCTCTCATTATTTAAACAGTCAATTATATGATTTCCACACAAGTGTAAAAATAATGTAGTCTGCATTAGATTCTCAAATGCATGTAGTTTTTCCTGACTTGAGTCTTAAGCAGCCATTGTAGGAAATTAAAAAAATAAAAAGATTTAAATTCAAAAGTTCAGGTTTAAAAATCAGGAGAATATTAGAAGAAAGTATTGACTTTTAATCTGGTGGTACAATAGTTAAACTGCTCAGCTGCTGGCCAGAAGGTCAGCGGTTTAAGCCCACCAGTTCCTCTGCGGGGGGGGGAGATGAGGCCGTTCTCTTCCGTGAAAGGTGCAGCCTTAGAAGCACTGGGGCAAGTCTGCTCTGTCCTGTAAAGGTCCGCTTGAGCCAGAATCAAGCCAGCAACAGCGGGTTTGGCTTTGGAACCTCTTAGGGAAATAACACTTTGAAACGTCAAAGTCCATAAAAGTTAATTAGTAAAATTTAGGTATAGTTTAAAATACCACGAATTACCATTGATAGAGTAATGATTTCTTAATGAAATTTCTTAGTGTCGCCTTAATAAATGAATCCATATTTTAGCCAGTCGTTTCCAATTGTGACATGGACTATGCCGAATTACACAGTATTCTTCAGAGCACTTAAAACTTGTCTTCCTCCAGTGCAAACCAAAGAATGATCATTTCTGTCTTTGCTGGTGACTAGTTTTATTCTCCTCAACATAATTGCCATTACTAAGTGACAGGGAAAATGGATGACCTAAGAGCTTCAGGATATTAGCAGGAACATTGAATTGAGGTTGATCCCTTTGATGAAGAGCTTTGGATAAATTTCCTACAGTTTGTCATTGACAAATGTTTACTTTAAACCTTTGAAATAGCAACATCAGAGGAAGTGAATAGTTTCTTAAAAGTTCACATTCTTTTAAGATACTAGTTAAGCATCTTTTTATGTGTGCAGACTGTTGGTCCAGTTTAGTTACACAACTTTGTTCTGTTTATACTATTGTTCCACACCCCTATGCTTTTTCAGAAAGATGAATTTGAAACCATATGGTTCCAAGTTGACTGAAAATCTTAACATTTCCCCCTTGTATATACATGAATATGCACATGCCACACGTACATGAAGTTGACATTATTTACCTTTTTCCTCATTAAATTGTAGGAATTGAGACTATTTGAACTCAGTGTCGGCCACTACCAACATTAATACCATCTTTGTCTCCCTAAAAGGGCATTCCCCCCCATTTTTGTATGATAATCAAGAACAAGTACACTATTAACTACAAAGTGCATCGATGTGATACCCAGATTTGTGCAATGCGAGACCCATGCTTTGGTTCTTACTGTCTTGAAAAGGCAACCATGATGGCCAATGAGTATGACAACTAGCAAAAACAAGTCATGTATCATTTTTATGTTGGACATGGTTCTTTGACAGGCCACTATATCTACAGTCATTGATGCAATTCACTGCAGTGCCACTACCACTTCAGTTTTACTTGAATATGGAAAGAACACAATCAACTAAACTATCAGATCAAAACAAGTCAGTCCATCCCTTAGCACACTCTGTTGAATTTTGCTTCCCAACTGAGCAAGGTCAGCTTTTAGTAGCATCTACAGTCCTGACCATAATTATCCTCTATCAAGTTGACACCTCATAAACGCCAAAACCGAGCGTGCTGCCATGGAAAATACCTCATACTCTTTCCTACACATTTGAAAACAAACAAAAAGAGAACATAAGGACTTCATAGGAAAAAGGATTTAATGTCAGTATTCCCCTGCAGGTTGCTTTATCTTTTGTTTTATTATTTTTCCAACCTTCAGAGAAGTGGTAGCTGATCCTTAAGCAGGACACTGCATTTGGATAATTTAGTACTTTGTAAAATGGTAACATTTATGAGACTTTGAAGGATAAAGTTGCTGTTTTAATACATTTCAGCCATTAATGTACAAGCATAGTCTCTTAAATTTAGCCTGCACTGTCTTTTTAGTTCAAATTGAGATCTGCTGTAAGATAACATCTATGTGGATTTTGAAGATTTGGTTCCAAAGAACAAGATGTGTAAATTACCTTACAAATTTTTGTTATATTGATGATTTATTAAGATGATCATTTGGATAGATTATCAAAATTAATTGCATGTATTGTTTTTTTCTAGTGTTACTAGAAAAAGTTAAATTATATCTTGGCTTACATTGTATTTCTGTTGGACAGCACTCTTTCCCAGGGAACATTAAGAGAGAAAAATAAGACAATCTTTCATTTCAACTTCCGTGATAGTTTTAGCAGAGCTGAACTAATAGAGTTCCAAATTCTCTGAAAAGAACTAATACTTTCAAATGTGTATCACAACTTTTTTTTTTTCCCCCAAAAAAACTTGCATCTGTCAGAACGATTGGACTTCACCATGGCCATAAAAATCAAAGTATGCTTTCAGCGGTCAGAATATGAACATCAAAATATTAATCCTCCAATTTCACTTCTGGCATGACTTAGGGATAATGCAGGCAATTTCAAGCTTTAAACCAAATGTTATTTTCAGGTGAGCCAGTTAACCTACAAGGCCCTAGAAGAAATACACATTGCAATTCAAGTCTTTATAACTCAACTTCTCCCCTACTCCCCTTAAGAGTTGCATATGTCCATTAAGTCTCTTGTCATTTCCTATGCGCAATACTTGTCCCAATCGTGCTTAATTGTTTTAGGAAGCATTCTCCGGCCAACATTTCACATTCCTGTATCCCACATTAGCCACCGCTTCTTGAGATCCTGGTCCTCTGATGGTGGCGGTGGGCTTGAGTTGGTTTGTTTTCTCCTTTTCGCATGAAGTTCGAAAAGTGAGTCCGTCGGAGGAAGAGCTGGTACAGGGAGAGAGTAACTCAGGAGCACTGCTGTCGTTTGTAGTGGCTGAGGGCTTCTTCCTCAGTGAAGAAACTCCTAGGTTGTCCCGTCAAACTGGTATAACTTCAGGGGGGCCACCCTCCGCAGGTGGCAGTGAATTGATACCCGTTTGTGATACAGGTACGACCACAGCATCCTTGATACCTGTGCTTACGTTGCCTGAGAAGTTCTTCTCCAGTTTTTTGGCAGTGTCTGGACAATTCTGCACAAAGATGACACGATTGTAGGCCTTTAGCCTGCGCCACAACTGAACGTAGACTTTACACTGTACGTACATGAAGACCAGCCCTCCTGTGAAGCCGATAGCCACCACAACCAGCTTCGTCCAGAACGGCCATTCAAGGACACCTTTCAGGTCAAAAAGAGAAGACGTTATCAATCACCAGGTTGCCAGCAAGAGATTTGTATGATCGACAGACGTGGAGACGAACATTGATGACAACCAGAAAGAGCTATAAACTGAGTGAGTTCCCTTCTCAAAAACTCAGAGGTCGAATCAGTGCTGACTGATGGTGACGCCCTGTGGGTTCATGGACACAAGAAGCCCAGTCTGCTGGTCGTCTTGAACTGCTAGCTATGTGTGTCACAGCACAATGCTAACCATTGCACCACCTGTTAGACTCCAAGTTGACTTAATTCCTTTCAAATAGTGTAAATATCGAATCTAAATATATTTTTATAATTATAGGTGAAAAATTATTTCCCCCATCCTTAGCACTAGGAACTTCTTATGATTGTCACTAACTACATTAGACTTTTGACGAGTCAAAATTTGTCTTGTATCTAAACCTTTTAGTGCACAAAATACTTAATCTCGTTTCAGAATCTAATGAAATGAGATCTGAATTCTAAAACAATATTTGAAAATAACATTTCATTGAGTACTTACCGACAACCAACGTCCCCTATTTTTATCGTGATTGATACAATAATGAGTAGGGCAGAATCTTGCCAACCACTTGTCTCTAAAGATTAGGGAGCATAGTGAAAGAATGAGAATTTTAAATTTAAGATGAAGTCCTGGGCACTGTTTTCGGCATATTTACAATTTTCTGTGCTTCCTTCCTCCAAAAGAAAAGAAGGTGGGAGAGTAGCTCTCTGACCTCACTAGAGAGAAGATATGAAACAGTTTCACATCATAGTAATGTGTATTTACATGTTTTGTGCAAGTAAAAGTCAGTATATTAGATACGTTTTCTCTCCCAATGTGCTTACTACACACCAGCTTTTTCACAAACAGATTCCTGAAAGACTTCACACGCTTTCCTGTGATTATAACAACTAGTATTTAGGCCTGTCCTATTTAGGAACACTCTGGGTAAGCCCGTCATAGTTACGACTGCTCTCCCTGGAGGCGCAGCAGAGGAATGGAAGGCCTGCAGTCAGGTAGGTTGACACAGTGCCAGAGTCAATGGGCTCAGGCATGGGGACAGTTGTGGGGAAGGTGCGGAACCAGCCAGTGTGTATAGTGCAATTCATTAGTATCTCTGCTGATGTGAACAAGCATGTTTTTCTTGATCCTCATCTACAAGGACTTCTTTTTTATTTTAGGTTTTTTAGGTTATATAGAGAATTGGACTTTTTTTTTTTTTAAATCATTTTATTAGGGGCTCATACAACTCTTATCACAATCCATACACACATCAATTGTGTAAAGCGCATTTGTACATCATTCTCAAAACATTTTCTGTCCACTTAAACCCCTTGGCATTAGGTCCTCATTTTTCCCCTCCCTCATGAGCCCGTGATAGTTTATAAATTGCTATTTTGTCATATCTTGCCCTGTCCGACGTCTCCCTTCACCCACTTTTCTGTTGTCCGTCCCCCAGGGAGGAGGTCACACATAGTTCCTTGTAATCGGTTCCCTCTTTCCAATCCATTCTCCCTCTACCCTCCCTGTTTCGCCACTCACACCACTGGTCCTGTAGGGCTCATCCGCCCTGGATTCCCTGTATTTTCAGTTCCTATCTGTACCAGTGTACATCCTCTGGTCTAGCCAGACTTGCAAGGTCGAATTCGAGTCACAGTAGTGGGAGCAGGGAGGAAACATTTAGGAACTACAGGAAAGTTGTATTTTTCATTGTTGCTACATTTGCACCCTGTCTGGCTCGTTTCCTCCCCGAGACCCCTCTGCAAGGGGATCTCCAGTGGCCTACTGATGGGCTTTGGGTCTCCACTCCGCACTGCCCCCATCATTCACTATGGTAAGATTTTTTGTTCTGATGATGCCTTATACCTGATCCCTTTGACACTTCGTGGTTGCATAGGCTGGGGTGCTTCTTCCATGTGGGCTTTGTTACTTCTGAGCTTGATGGCCACTTGTTTACCTTCAAGGGTTTAAGACCCCAGACTCTGTATCTTTTGATAGCCGGGCACCATCAGCTTTCTTCACCACATTTGCTTATTCACCCGCTTTGTCTTCAGCAGTTGTCGGGAAGGTGAGCATCATAGAATGCCAATTTAATAGAAGAAAGTATTCTTGCGTTGAGGGAGTACTTGAGTGGAGGCCCAATGTCCACAAGGACTTCTTTATGATTAGATTAATTCATAGCAATCACCATTTAAAACATATACTCTTATCTCAATACATCAAAATATTGGGATTAATTTTCATGATTTCAAGTCAATGCCCAGCATCTCTAAGAAAAGTAGGTTTGGCACAATTTCCTCAAAACTATGCAAGTTTCCTAACACTTGCATAGACAATATGGAGATATAATTGGCTTTCATCACGCAAAACATCTTGAGATACTTCAGAATCTTTTATACTTTTGCAATCAACTAAGATGTAATCATGTTTGCTACTGCTAATTTTTAGCTAGCTGGTAGTATGTATATTATTTGATTATGCAAATTTTATTTACTTTCCAATAACCTAAGGAGCTTGGTCGGCCCTATAGAGTAAGTGTTGGTTGGTGGTTCAAATCCCACTCCATGGGAGAAAGGTGAAGCTATATGCTCCTGTATGTACATTTATAGTCTTGGAGATCCTCTGTAGAGTCACTCTGAGTCTGAATGGACTGATTCAGCGGGTAGCTGTTGGCTTGGGTGTGCAGATTTTATTTAAAGGAATGTAGTGAAAAAGCGTGGGGTGCAGAGAATTTCACACTACTTAGTGTGGAGGAGCTTGGTTTTATTCGAGAGGACTATTTAGCTGGTTCAGTCTTGTACAGTGGAGGGAATTGAATAATAATCTCGTCTGGATGGTACCTATTTATTAGTGTATTTATTGTCATGGAAATTACTCGGGGGCCTTAAGTTGTTTAAAGGAGGGAGATTATTAGGGAAAATAAAAAGTTAGTGAATAAAATTTGATTATACCTTTTTGGTTTGAGATAGTGGAGGCTGCTGTAATGCTAATTGAGGAGAGATTTTTTGGTAGGAGTTTTTCTAACCAAATTAGGACTAGGGAAGCGGAGGCTAATTTTTGGCTTAAGAGTAAGTTAGTTCGTGATAAGATCCGGTGAATGATGGAAGGGAAGTAGCCTAATATATTTGAGAATTTATAAGTTGAAGTAGGGGGTGGTTTAAGAGAATTTTAAGTAGGATGTTAATATGTTTAATTCTATAGCGATAACAAAGCCTAGTACAGTTACGGTTAGGGCAGTAATTTTCAAATAAAATGGTATAGTTATAAGCGGGTAGCTTGCATGGGGGAGGCTCTAAGAAATTAACAATCCAGCTAGGATACTTCCAATAGCTAAACGTTTAATTGGGTTGATAAGGCTTATATTATTTTCATTAATAATAATAATAATAGGATTAAATTGGGGCTGATTTATTTAGGCGAAGAAGATGATTCGGGTGCTGTAAATGGCTGTTATAGGGGTAGCAGTTAGGTTAAGATTAGGGCTCAGGTGTTGATGTAGGATAAATTTATAGTCTCAATGATTAGATCTTTGGAATAGAATCCTGTAAGGAAAGGCATACCCGTTAATGCTAGACTGCCGATTGTAAGTGTAGAAGTAAATGGTATAGATTTATATAGTCCTCCCATTTTTCGAACGTCTTGTTCATTGTTAAGACTATGAATAATGGAACCTGAGCATAGGAATAATATAGCTTTGAAAAATGCGTGAGTAAGATATGTATGAATGCTAGGTAAGGGTGGTTAATACCAATAGTCACTATTATTAGTCCTAATTGGCTTGAAGTGGAGAATGCTACAATTTTTTTTATATCATTTAGGGTTAAGGCGCAAACTGCTGTAAATAGTGTTGTAAGAGCACCTACGCAGACCTAACATAGGTAGATTACTATTCGAGCCAAGTAAGAAAATTTGTTGGAGCTCTCATAAGTTTAAGTGCTTAAAAAATCATGCTATCGCTAGAATAAATCCTACATCTCCAATTCCGTTAAAAATAACGGCTTGAAGGGCTGCTGTGTTAGTGTCTGAGCGTCCGTGTCATCAGCCATTAACTAGGATTATTATAGTAATTAAGAATAAGAGCAGATATTTGAAGAAACGCCCCATATTAGGGTCAGAGTCTATGTAATCATATAGAGAACTCTATAATAGACCAGGTTACGTAAAGGGTTACAGGGATAAAGATGAGGGAGAAATAAGTTTAAAGTTTAGTGATAGGCTAAAGGTATGTATTGTTATTCAGTGCCAGTTTGAGATTATTGTTTCTGGGGTTATTGAAATAAATACTAGTGTGGGGATAGTACTAGGAAGGAATGAGTAAGAAACTATAGATTTTACGTAAGGTCGTAGTAGGTTAGGGCTGGGGTAGTTAAGTATAGATACGTGCTAAGATAGTAAACAGGGATAATTTTAATTACTTTTATTTGGAGTTGCACCAGTTTTTGGTTCCTAAGACCAACGGATTGCTTCTGTTCTTTAAAAGTAAGAAAGCCATAGTTTTACGAATGGAACAAAGAATTAGCAGTTCTTATATCTTTCTTGGTAAATTTGGAATTTAATCTCACAGTCTAATGTTTTTATTAAACTAAATTTACA